GTTTTGGGTATCCGCGGTCGAACACTGGAGCAAGTGGTCGACCTCCATAGATTACGTTGGTTAGGACATGTGTTACGCATGTCACCAGATAGGTTACCACGGCGAGCGATGTTCGCCGAGGCAGGCATTGGTTGGACTAAGGCCAAGGATGGTCAAGCTAAGACCTGGTATGAACAGTCTGGGTCACACAGGTCCCGTTAGGCTCCCTGGCTGAAGACCTCGGCACGATCTTACCCGATGGTTAGACACTCAGTGATATGACTGTGTCGCAACCAGCGGCGTTCGTGCATCTAAATTTCTTTGTAACATTAGTCTACTGAAATTCACAATTTTCTCTTCGATTCCACTTCGAACCGCCCTGTATTGCTTCTGTTGTTCATCAAAATGGGCAGCAAAAAGACAACAACCGAAAGCAGCGCACGAAGGCACATGGTTAATGGTTGTTCAAACTGAAACTGAAAACTGCTGTCTTTTGGCTACTTATTTGGATAAAAAAGCAGAGTAAAGATTGGAATGAGAACAGAGTCGAAAGGAAGATAGAAAATTCATACAGGCTGCGGCTGCAAGAATATTGAGTAGATATACTACCGCCACTGTTTGCGACACTCAGGCAGATCACTGAAACCACGGGTTACCATTATCTAGGGGTCTCCATTCAAGGAGCCCAACGCTATCTATATAACCCAGTGTCCTGGTAAGGGTTTTCATAATCTCATGCCAGCACTTAGTTTGACCACCCTTGACCTTTTAATATCCGCTGCCAGTCTCGGCAAACATCGCATGCCGTGAAAAACTACTCAGTGACATGCGCAACACATGTCCCAACCACCGCTGTCTACGTAAATCGACCACTTGTTCCAGTGGACGTCTGCGATTACCTACAATTCTACATCTAACCTTGGTACTGTTTTGTTATTACACATCTTCGTGTGATGAACAGCAGACGAGGAAAGCCCCATAGTCACGGGGACCTGCTGTTCATTGATCGAGACCGGTAACCTAAGCGAACCACATAAGGCCCCACTAGGTTAGATGTGGTATTGAACCGGACGACAGCAAAACTGCCTACTACCAAACATGGGTGGAGGTGGCGGGGTCGAACCTCGGAAAATAGGATCCAAAGCACGCCCGTGACAGAGACTAAACTACTATGCCACCACCACCCTGTCAGCGTCAAAGTAGACAACCATCGGCCATCAAAAACTGACAGTCAATCGATGACCTTCGCACGCGAACTCAGACGTAGAAATGATAACCCGGAGGGATAATTCACGCAGCCTTTCCACTTCAAGGAAACGTCGTGTCGAGGCGAAGAGTGTTTCAGTCTGGTGTAAGCATGTGTGAAGTCATCTTTCCTTATCTGTCATGCAACTGCCTGAGTAGAAGCTATCAAATATAGACAATTTCTGACCACTGAGTTCTCGAGCAAGGGCAGAGGATATCCTATCTTGCAACACTAATTTGAAGCAGCAAAGCGCATACCGAAAGGAGAAAGAGAACCAGCCAAGTGTGCTTTGTGCATCTGTACATTCAAACAGACGGACGATGCCGTCAGCATTCACTAGATCGCAATAATAGTTATGGTTTTGGCCATTAAGGTGCACGTTGGACTCTATTCAACCCAATCAGGCAATACTATGATCAAATGTTGCACATCATGATGCAGAAACATCGAAAATTTGTGAGGTGCATTCTTTGGCGATTATTGAAGTATAACAGACATATTTAACTTTTTTAACTAAAGATAAAACGATGAAGTAGGAAAGGTATACGTTTGATCAGTGTATTACCAAAATCTGAATAAAATATTTTAAATGAGAACAATTTTCAACGAAAAGGCGCAAACGGCTAGCACCGGTAGGCAGTATGAAAGTGGACGGTATTTGATAGTGATTCAAGGTAGACATGAAATGAACAACTGATGTGGAATAGGTCTTAATGAGGAATGAAAAGGATGTGAATGTTCCGGAAAATGTAACTCGTTCAAAGAGAATGGAGTGCAGATGGATTAGATTGATCACATATATTCCATCTTGTTTTCCTTCTCACAGTTCAATAACCGCTCCTGCAGCCGGGCCGCATATCCAGTGGATCGTTTGAACCCAACGGCACCTTTCAACGGTTTGCCTTGTTTGGCTTTGTTAAATGAATTCGATTTAGAGTTAAACAACACGCTCTTGGTGGCAGCACTGGGAATAGAATTCAAGGATTGTGAAATTTCCTTGCGTTGCTGCTTATCAAACCGTTTGGGCTGTTCCGGTTTTTCTAAAGAATCGACTGGACGTATCACAGGCGGATCATTTGTCCCCGGGGTGAATAGATTACTGTAGTCCATTGGCGGTATGGACCGTAGGGTAAATTGCACGCTCGAGTTCAGAACTGGATCCAGTAAAACGGAACAAGCTAGATCCAATAGTTTTGTGAATTCTTGGGACATAGAACATAGCATCTGCGCTGAGATTGAAGCAGAAATATTTTTTGAACGATAGAGCAGACGAGGCATCCAGAACCGCATGGCCTGATAACGTCTGGCCGATCGATCTACGTTGTCCAAACAAGAGGCAATCCAATGGACTAGACGACCAGACGGGAATATAATCCATGTTTGGGTAAAACTTGGAAGAGTGGATGTGTTCTGGACAGAAACCAACTTGGTAAGAAGTGTGAGTAGAGACCGGAATGAGGCATAAACCAATTGTATGGAATTGTAGGCGTGTACGAATTCAAGACGATACGCAGGGGGGATATCTGTTGGTAATACTGCCATTCCTGCGCTTGTGGTTGCTTGATTCTCAGCCGTGTCACCAACTGCTTGATAGCATTGAACGAGAACGCTTTCATCCAAATCGGTGCATTGATAATTAAACCAGGTAGCTACAGCACAGACGAGTATCGCCAAAGCTATTGGAGATTCGACTAAAGTCAGGGAAAAGGACGATTCGGGTTCCGAATGACAATGCCAAATGGCCAGTGCAATTGCTAAATTAGCCAAAGGGCTATAGCGATTTACATCTTGCGGAAGTTTTAAGCCTAAAAATTGATGCAAGAAGATATCTATTTGGACACTTCGAGAACATACATAAAGCGGAGTCACCTGTACTGAACGACTAAGAAGGTTTGGACTGACACTGAGGATTTCGTTCACACATATGTGTGGATCTAAAGATTTATCTGGATCTGGTAACTTGTGTTTTAATCCCAAAAGTATGCGATAATGTATTAAACGGAGCGGTAAGGAGGCTTCATACACACTACGGTCGTCTTCTGGAAGCCCTATATACGACGGCAACAAAATGTCCGGTGAAACGTATACAGGAGTGATGCACTTTGCTAATAAGGCCGACTGAGTGAAAGCTTGAGTCAAATCCGAAGACCAATCGGATGTAAAATCCAGCTCCGTACCAAAATCCGAACCCCGTAGAAGTTGATACAAAACAGGTCCCCGACCCTGTGATGGATTAGGACGAATAGGTATATCCTTCTTTAAGAATTCTGAGATCCGTGAACGCCATGTTTCTGATATAGTCGTGTTACTAAGGAGTGAGACCAATCGGGAAGCTACAGACGGGCTAGGAATGTAAGTCTGTACAGAGTCGGACAACTTTGACTGAACTGTAAGTCTCAAGTCTTGATTGTATGTGTTTATGATTCGATTGATCGGTTCCATCGAAACATTTGACGTATATTTCGCCAACCAATTGCATATTGTAAACCAGCGTCGAGTTTTATAGTCACCTGAGGTAGTATTCATGATTTGGTACACCTGTGATGGGAGGGTGATTCGAGGAATAGAGTCGGATCCGAGTAAGAGAAAAAGGAGAGGACGATAAAACTCGTGCACCTGACCGATACTGGTACGTTCCGGAGCAAATCGATGCGCGTGGAGGAAGAGACATTGGTCAGTCGTTGCATCCGAACATGGTGGATTTTTAGAAGACCGAGTAGCCGAACACCGATGTCTCATTCGTTCTTCTGTTTCAAAGTTAGCGTAGCTGAGAGGAATAAAATTGAAGCCATTAAACTGCCTGGATGGAGCGGAAGCACAGAGTACGAGATATTCCACCGACTCGCTGAGTAAAGGACAGTTTAAAGCAGCAGCCAATGCAGCACAACTTCGTTTGCGGCAAAACGGAGAGCGTAAGTGCACATAGTGTTCTAAATTCAACAAATCGACAAAAGCGTCTTCTTCCAAAACCAGATCTAGTTGAAAAAGATGCATAGTGGCTTTTAGTTTGGCCAGTAAGCTCGTGCTTGAGATTTTTCGTCGAGCTTTCTCCACACGAAAGATAAACTGTTGACCCTAAAACAAATAAAAAAAGCATTACAAAATACGAAACCAACGTTGTACCAGGTGTGACACCAGATCGAAGTACTTCAAAAACTGCAAGCGACAGACAGTATATGGTACTAAATAGTTCACCCGTGTCATGAGACTTTACGGCAACTCGCACTTTGAAACAGTCGGTACCTTCACTTCCGTCTAATGAGAAAAATAGATTGTTATCTGCTTAAACGGTGGCGTCCTGATAAAGGACTGTATGAGCGGTAGATATGTCTACATGAAACAAATATCTGCCAAATCAATAAAGACATAAAGAGCCTAAATCGCAAACATTCTGGTTGATAAGGACTGCCCTGCGATGTGGTCAACATCTAGGCAGCCTTGTGGTACACAGGAACTACGACACAAGCATCAATTTTCTACTACTTCTGTACCCAATGATGCTCCCCTCCCCTCTTCTTTATTCACTCCTTTTACCGTTAGAACAAGGTTTGGGACAATGTGTTCAAGTTTCTTAGATTACGCTTTGATGCCTAAAGGTCACTTGACCGTGCTGTCCCCATTCGACCTATTTGAACTCACCGTTAACTACCGTAGCATTTCAAAACCGGATTCTGTAAAACATCCCGGTTTTATTTCATCAAATCACCTCTAACATAGTCTAAACATGTTTACGAAGACTCACCATGTTTGGTGATTGTTCTCCGGAATAGCTAGTTTCTCCCTTAAATTCAGTCCATAAATCTGACAGAATGCGCTCTCTTGCATTTCCCTGATCTACTCGAATTGGGTTCAGTATTTATCTACGCAGCGTTCCGCTTTAGAGCTTTGGTAACCAATCATTTAAGTTCCTGGGGTGATTGTTCAAGATCCACTGGTATTATTAAAATATACATACTGATTGTTTGTATAAATCATTTTATTCCACATGCATTACACTAAACTAAGACTGAAATCAGCAGAGTGAAAACGATGACAAAATATCCCAACAGGTATATAAAGAAAGAAAAACTGAGGAATGTCAAGGAACTTCTCTTTCTAGGAAGAAAAGGTCAGATAATACAAGGAACATCGCAACCTCTGAGAAGAAATGCTGGAAAAATAATCCATTGTGACACTACCATGCTTTGCTCCTTCGACTGACCAAAAGATATATTATCGTACAGATTACCATTCTGTTAACGAGCAAGATTTCACAATCCACTACTAAATTCGTTTCACATCAGATAAAATAAATCGATGCACGGTAGTATCCCATCTCTCGTCCAATATTGCTTTGTCTCTCAATCTGTCCAGTTCATTCGTGGAGACTATGCTTCGCCACACTTTTCTAAGCCCGGAGTCTGCTCATATTCTAACTGTAGTTTAAGTGATCCCTACTTCATCCCTATTATTGCACATGCATTTCACATGTGTTTGAGATTAGACTGTACCAAATAAATCCCGATACAAGTTTTCAAAACAGAAATCGATCAGTAATTTGCACACGAGCGGAGTACTGCCGAGTCTCAGACGAAAAAAGGAAATGTCAACTGGAGGTCTCGGCCAGCCACGGCCTAACTCAGGGTTTAGTTTGTATAAACATTAACCATACACTTTAAACGGTGAATGGTTCGAATACCTTAATCGGTTTTTCACAAGCACCAGGCACCATTGATGATCTTGGGTATGGGTTTCACTCCTTGGAAGATCGGTAAGTCCCCATTAAGTAAATGCATTTAAATGCGATAGAAATCTTTGTGATGACCGACAAAAAGTACTGCAAAGCTGTTTTGTCCCGTTTGGGACTCACCAACAGTAACTACTTTTTGCGTACCTGGTGAGGAATTAACAATTTCCAAAGGAGTAAAACCAACACTCAAGATTATCAACATTACCTGGTGCTTGTGAAAAATCGGATGGGTTAATCCCAACATTTACTGTCTAAATTGATTGAGCCATATGTACAAGGCAATGACTGCCGGCCGTGTAGCTCAAGATTAAAGGTATTGACTAACAAATCGAAGTTCGCGGTATGAGCCCCAATAGGGATCTAAAGGGATTAAACGTCCAATTTGCTCAATATACCTCGATGCCTGGTCAAGATGCTAACCGCACTCAGCCGTAGATGTGGGTCTTACACTTTGTGTTTGTCTGGTTTGGAATCAGGGTTTTTAGTCAACCCCCTAGTGGTTTACCGACCCGATCATAGGCTTCGGAGGTTGGTTTTCCTTCCTCTCACTTTGGTGGGCAAACACCTAAATCACATGAAGGTAGGGAAAAGAACTTCCTCAGCAGACTATTTAAGAGGCTTGATCGTATAGAAACATTTTGTGAGGTGTGAGGAAAGGATGACTATACATGGCCCAAAATTAAAATTAATGTCTTTTTACTTCCTTTTTCTATTTATTGAATATACAAACGTAATGTCAACTCTCAACATCGACGATTCTGAGGAGTTTGAAGGGTTGCGATTAGGTCTCGATTGTATTGATTAAATAACTTCGCGTTGGGTCCTCGAGGTATGCCACGCGAGGACCACGCTATTTCTTGATAAAGGGGAAATCTTAACTCAGCTGATCGTGATGTTATACTCAATTTGACTTGTCCCGAGAGAATACTAAAGCTACTGGTTGAGAAGAGGTTGATGACGAGCTAAGCAGCTCGTTCGAAACCAACAGCAATGTTTATCCAGAGCGATCTATTTCGCTCGTCTTTTCAACTTCGCCATAGCTGAGTTCAGTTTCAGTTTCTACAACCATTCAACTTGCAGTTGCGCGACGGTTTTGGTTGGTGCATTTCGGCTATCCATTTGGTCGACCAGTAACGAATAAATTGAAGAGCTGAAAACTGGGAGCACCATCACAGAATAAAGATGCAGAAAGCGAGAGAACTGAATCAAGGTGGAAAGTATTATATCATATGTTTCACACCTGTCCCTGTTCAGACTGTGTCCAAAAAACATCACGGTACAATAATCCTCAAAACAAACCCGGAAGCCAAACGTAACCTATACAACCAAGTCCCCTGATCAGAGTTTTCAAATATTCTTGCCAGATTTTAGTTTGACCACTCCTGGCCTTCTTTCACTGAGCAGTTTCTTTTCAAACATCCAAATCCCATTTATTGGTACGCGTAACATATGACGCGTTCATCACAATCCACAAAAATGAAGCAATTGCATTAGTATGACTAACGGATATGTAAGTGAACTACTATTGTCAACAAGCCTATCCGAGCAATCTGAAGTGAACAGAGATAGGGAACAAAACGCATTTGTTGTTTTCTGTTTTCCTGTCCTTATGTATCTGCGACCAGAGGGTTAGTAATCTGGACCCCAGTCTGCGACATGAGACACCTACTCTATTCGGTCTCAAAGCATTTCTAGAGGCCGATGCGTTTTAAGGGGAGCATAAATCCCCAAAGAAAAGAAACTAAAAATTAACCAACCGAAAGCAGGCAGACGAATAGTAAGAGTTCGAGTTCAGATGGTATCATTCCAACTGGGCTTAGTAGTCAGTTGGGAGCAGATCGATCACATTCACTAACAAATAGCTGATTATAAGAGCAATCAATACAAAACTGAAAATCGAATGAGATACACCTTATTGAACAACGCGGTTCATAGAGAACACGGGAAAAGGAAAGGATTTTCCAGAACAGTTTGACTTCCTTTATTCGCGTCCGTGGAATGTTACTAACTGCAAAGCCTTCATCAGGAAAGATAACACAAAGGCACAAATTCGACGATAAACAATTTAGGATTAGGTGACAGAATAATTTTTCGGTTTTGGATGAAATGGTTGTACTGAGGATTCAGGAAAGATGATAAAATAGCTGATGCAGCTCAACACGCATGAAGCTAAGACATGCATAAGTGACTTAGTCGATGAAGTATATCACTAAAAAGCTTTGCGAGAAAGCCGTTTGTATCAAACGATTTGCATTTCACAAAAACATTCTCCTTCTATAGGTATCAGGAGAAATGATTTGCAACTACAGGGTATTTTTTCGATAAAAGAACAATAAACCTCATCAACAACCCGGAAAAACAGTTTCCATTGTGTACGATGTATTGCTGTGGAATACATTCGACTGTATTCGGTGACTTGCTAGATTGTGGAACAACAACAACGAATATTAAGATAATGTTCAAAATAAATTTACTTACCCTGAACTCACAATCTGCCGAAAAAACAAATACCGGATCCAGTTGACATCGTTTCATACGGGAGAGTATTGTTTTCCACTTTGTGACTGAAGACAAGTATTCCCCTCCCCAAATGAAGTCGCGTAGATTATTTGACTGAAATTCTGTCAAAAAGTTCTTGCCATCAATCAAAACAGGCGTGTTGTGCAATAATATCGCCTCGAAACTGGAATAGTTTTCACAAAGAATTGAACGAANACTGGCATGATGAACGTGTACTGTGCCGGGGCACGGGTTTGCAGCAGGATGTCCGCGACCGTGAACGGATACAGGAGACAGCCTAACGTGCACTGAATCTCCACGTGGGCTGGAATAGTCGACGGACAGAAGGTTCCCCGTGCACTTTCTGCAAGACAGGAAAAATGCAAACATCATGAACCAGAAGGTCGAGTGAGCTATGAACACGACTCAATCAAACTGAATGGTAAGATGCCCAAGTCGTTACAAACAACACTGATGGAATCAGCACCGTTGAAGGTGCACAGGACTGATAATTGCCAGGGTTAATCGAGAGCCCAGAATTCCTTCGGTGGTATGCTCACGCAATGGACAACCGAAACTTCCATTTCAAGTTCAGCTTTTTGGAAGACGAACTGTGGTGCTCCACAATCTTTCACTCGACTTCCTATGTTAGCAGTGACTCCATTGTCGTCCAACACATTGAGGTAGCAGTTTCTACTGTGAGGCGATATGAAGTTATGCAGTTCGGTATCCGGGTCCTCATAAATGTATTTAAAGTCACTTAAATGATTAGTCTTAATTAAGGCTGTCATCATATTCTTAGGCGGTCCCCTTAACCTGTTTAGAAAGTTATATCAGGGAACAGTTCTAGCCACTTTGAAAGCTTGGACACTCGATGAATTAATTAGTTCATCGGGGAGACTTAGTTTAGTTCCTTTTTACAACCATTAACAATGCAGTCGCATGCGCCAGTTTTGGGTGTTGTCTTTAGACTGCCTCTTTGGATAAAACAGCAGAAGGGATCTTGGAAAGTTGAAAGAAGTATCGAAGAGAAAATGGAGAATTGCCAAGAAATTGAGAAACACAAGCGTCACTATTTACGATACTCGTTCACAGCTCGCTGATAACAACGATCACAAGGTTTTATTCAGGGAACCCAAAGAGAACTACGTTACCGAGACTCCCGGTCAGGGTTTTCATGCCTTCATGCCAGATCTTAATTTGACCGCCTTTAGCATTTTCCGCCCACTGCCTGCGTTGGCTAACATCGCAATTGGTGGTAACCTATTTCGCTGCCTGTTTATTCAGCCATTCCCCTCTTTTGCTAGGGCATCTTTTATTTCGAATGAGCGCTGAGTCCTGGGAATATCAAGTAATATTTCGTGCCTTCCCTTTGCAACAACCTCAATCCTTTGGGGATTGCCAGGAATTTCTCTGCTAATTGATCCTAAAAATTCAACAACTATGGGTTTCGGGTTTCTTCCAAATACCAAGTTGTGTATCCTTTATAAGCCATCGTGTGAAATCACTGCTATTTTTTCATTTTATTTTCATGCACCCCTGAGTCCAGTTAGCACAGGACCAGTATGATCCTTGGCAATCCAACGTCCAGTTCGTTGCGTTGTCGGCGGGCGGTAGTGGCTTCCAACACTGCGTACAGATTTATTTGTGACCCACTCAATCAAACCCAGATTCCAGGACGTTGTCACCTTCGTTTGCCGTGCCGAACGGGAGGAAAACAAACAAGGATATCTTCCCGGCTCATCGATAAGAGACCTTCAGGTTCGCAAGCTTTCCTGTATACATAGCAAACGTCGCAGGGAATTCAGTTGGAGAACAATTCCAACAATCAAGACCGAGTTCCCTCCAGTTCAGAAATTTCAGGTTACGGTGGATTTTATTCTTGGTTTTTTCAATCTAAATACTAAACTCCGGGAACGTTGCTGATCAACATGCGTCCAGGGCCACCATGAAGGCGTTGATGCTGGCGCAGTTGATTACTTCTGCGGATAAGCTGAGAAGAAGTTGGCCCATACTTCCAATGTGGAGTGATTTTATTGAAATTTGTAGCCACGACCCCCTCAAGTGTTGAGCATGAGAAATCGTTAACAAGTTATTCAGACTGAGTCCCGATAAACCTCTTACAATTTTAACAGACTCTATTAGATCTCCCGTCACTCATCCACGCTCCAGAGAGAAGAGATTTATATTTTTCAACAGCTGCCCAGTTTCCACTCGGGTAGCTAAGCGTTGCACTATTTCTGAACGTTACATTGCTCCCCCTCAGTACACAGTACTCCATGTGTGGGCGAACTGTGGCTTTGTACATTGGGATCAAAACAGTAGGCCGTCTGAATGTGATTGTAGCACACAACCGGAACAGCTGTTCCCTAACCTGATCGGC